CAGCTAGACCCTGAGATAAGAGGGGGGGGGCCTTCGGGCCTCATTTTCGTCTAAAAATAAGGGGGGGCGGGCCACCCGGGCCCCTCCCCTGGATCCCCGACCGCAGGTTCGAACGTGGGTAGTAAAACGCGCAACATCGCTATTCAACTCGTTTTGCAGCTATGTTGCCAAACAAGTTGCACGTTTTTTGTTACCCATTGTAGTGTAGCTTTACCCGTATTTATTTATTCCTTTTGGAACTCATAATCGCTGAGCTGAGAGATTTTAAGATCATAAATAGGATTGGTCCAAACTCGGGCCACTTTTACGTTTCATAACAAAAATGTGTCCTCAGCTGCAAATCAATGATAAAGAAACCTCACTTCATGCTGGAACTCCTCTGTTTTAAATTACAAATCGAACTATCCCGCTGTCAGCCTCATCATCTGACTGTTATATTTTTCTTCCCTTTTCTTTTTTCATTAAACCGAGCAGCTGCGGAAATCAATCCCAAAGAAAGACCTTCGAATTAACTAAAGGAAGCACAATGTTTCTTTACCACTAATTTGCGAAAACTACACGTAATGGGAATGAATTCAAATTTCAAGGTTCGCATGAAGACAGAAGCAAAAAAGGAAACGAAACACACAACTTTACGATATTGAAAATAGCCCGTGATTTGGAAGAGAAACCTTTAATTATTGAATTGATAAGATTATTGGGTAATGCAAAATAAACCAAATATGACTCACAACAATATTTGTAGGTTTAATTACAGCAAGCAATGATACGGCAACGCGACACAATGTGTTATTAAATTTTACAATAGATATTAAACTTTCTTTTATTAAAACGGGCCAACCAAAAAGTCACAGCAATGAAAAAGAATAACAAAAAAGGCTGAGAAAAAGAAAACTTCAGTCCAGTCAGTAGCTGTAGTATAATCTCGGTAGTATCTAGAGTATAGCTGCTGGCAATCCGATTTTCTCTTAGATAGTCGAGTTCTTAGACAGTGCAGACAAGGGATGTTTGTCATTTATGTTCAGCTGCTCCTGAAAGCGGGTTTAACCAACAATAACCCGAGTCTAATTCATCTACCCGGATACCAAATCAAACTGTCATGCACATTTTAAATTTTATTTCTCATTAATTTTTGTCACAGCAGTAAATGGCTTCAAACCTTTGTCGATGTATTTCTCTGTGGAAAAGAATACGATCGCGTGTTCTTTGCTTTCTGCAGCAAGTGGTCTGGTTCACTAGAGCTCGGTCTCTTTTGTGCGCTACACTCATTGTGATTACGCTCATTTTCAAAAGTGTTAGCGGAGAAAAATTGCGCGGAAGCCGCAAGCGAGTTCGCTGCTTGCTCCTTAAACGAACCCAATGCGTTTTGAAAATCTGTTTTAAAGAAAGTATACAGTAAAGGATTTACAAGAGCTGTGCTAAACTTCAAAAACAGTAAGACGATATTAAGCCATTGCGGGAAGTTCTTCACGCTCTCCGGTTGAATATCGTCCATTATTCCCACGAAGAAATAACCAGACCAAGCAAAAAGAAACATGATTGCCATTGCTATGTAGATGCATGTCGCTCTTATTTCGTTTCTTGACTTTTTCCTTTTAATACGTCGTGCAGGTACAGTTTCCGTGCTTTCTAAAAGTAGGCTTGGTCTTCGTTCACCCCAGATAACACAAAAAATACGAAGATAAGCGTAAACCATTATTACAAAGGGGATAAACACAAAAACAATTGCACATACAACTAAATAAAATGCATCAATTTGGTGAGAATGACCGGGCATTTTGCTGCTTTTTATATCGATCCAAGTTAGTTGTATGAACGAGGAAAATAGTGCTGTAGACCATATAACGAGGAGGACTATAGCCACTTTACGGCTAGTTAATACGGATAAATATCGAAGTGGTAAATGGATCTTGAGATATCGTTCCAGTGTTGCAGCTAACAAGTGAAGAATGGTTGATATTGCGAGAAATCTCTGAGATAAATCCATCCCAAGGCAAATAATCCAGCCGTAAAAACTCTCATGGAATACATTGCAGGCTATTACGAGAGGAATACACAAGATTCCTGCTGAAAAATCCGAGGCAGCCAGCGACACTAGAAAAACATTCGATTTCGTTCGAAGATAACTCCGTTTAGCAAACAATGTGAAAACCATCGCATTTGCCACAATTATAAAAACACCAAGAAGCCCTAAAAAAGAAAAGCTGACATATAAGCTAGTCAAATCTTCTTCTTGAACCGAGTTGTTCAACGGAGGATCCACATCAAAAGTTGTGATATTCTCGTAGAAAGCCATAGCTCTAGCCAATTTTACAGTTTGAATTTCAAAAAATGTCACTGCTCAGTCTTGTTGATGCTATTAAAATATTAAAATCTAAAGCTCTGTTTAGTAGTTCAGCTTGCCTTGAGTAATTGCTGCATTGTTTTTAAATTCAAAGAAGAAAATGAACAGCCATTGTGTGGCACGTACCAGGGTTTTTCCATTTCTGTTTCCGTAATTTGCATATTTCATCAGTCACTTAGCGGGAATTAGCGGGAATTAGAATTTGTTAACAAGGTCCTTCTTGATGTTTGATTGTCTTTGCACAGTATATATCGCACACTCAGGTGGGAAATTAATCAAAAGTGCTTGTAGCAGTCACCCTAATGACACTAGAATATTTAGCAAAAAGTAATATGTAATGTTCGCTCCATCTGGAAAAAGATTCAGGAATAAAATGTCCGCCTTCCCACCCCTCGCTTGGAACGCTCTTATCAGAAATTTGCCGAAGAGCTGATAACGCGAAATTACCACCGTGAATTAACTCAAGAATTGACGTTTGAGACGCTTTCCATTACGGTGGCTGGATTCACTTGTCAAACATGTTCTAAAAGAGAAACTTTTCCCACTTCACGTCCCCATGGATGCAGCATCACAATGTTTTCAAACAAGAGTAAATCCTGTACTACTTCATTCCTGTTGCGAACAAAACTGGATTTTGAGGTCACTAATAGTAGTTTATGTTTTAAAGGTATAGTCGTTTTCATGCTAGCAATTCAGGGAACACAAGTAGGGCAAATAAAAATGGCAAAAGTTGAAAAAATAAGAAAAAAAGGCTATTAATATCATGCATGGCAAAGTTCCACGGTAAAGTCAAAAACAAAAAAGACTAAGAAGAAAAAAAATCAACTATAAACGCTATAGACCTTTTTCACCTGAAAGTGAATTTAATTTGCTTGTGAATGGAAACCGTTTTTTTTTTTTAATTAAGAATGAGCACTTCTTTAAGCAATGTCCTGTTTTGTTCTTTTCTCTTTTTATTTATTTATTTGTTTGTTCTTTTACAAGACAGTAAAAACTGCAAATATACTGGCAAGCTAACTTGTAAAATGACCTATCTGCCCATCAAACTTTATTATCCGTGTTGCTGTTAATGTAATTTTTATCCAAATGCATTATTTGATTATCACAGTACACAAAAGTTGTGTACTGTACGTGCATGATCTCTTAGTCCTTCTTAATGGAAATATATTTTCTCCACCCCATCCTCTCTTCAGGATCTGGCAATTCGTTAGGATTTAACGGTACATCTGGTATTTCCTGTTGGAAAGCAAACGATAAAAAATTGTAGAAGTGTGCTCTGCTGCTGATGTAATATCTTTATTTCATTTGTTATAACCACAATATTTTTAATAATGATTGTTTTGATAAACATTACAGTAAGACTGAAGTCCGGTTTTACAGAGTTCAAGGATTAGTGTAAGACTAGCCTGAAATTCATCCGATTGCTTCGAGTCGTTTTCTCCTCTCAACAACTACTGAGGGAGTAATGACGACTCGAAGTAATCGGATGAAATTCAGGCTAATGTAAGACTAGAATTTGTCAGTATTCAAAAGGTAGAAATTCTCACTAGCATAAAGGGCCAGTTGAATTGAAGATTTAACTAGTGAAAACCCAGCCAGTAGATAGGTTGTGGTTCAGGTACTGTATCCATGGGTTACTTTCTTTGTAACAAACTCATTATAATGCATTAACAATACCAAGATAAAAACTTGCCACCAGTAAACCAAGCCAGGTTACAGTTGAGATTGCATTTTTTTTTAAATGAGGTGAGAAAACTTAATGAATCATTATACATTTCTGGAAAAATTCTCATCTACCCCTTCCCTAAGCCAACATTAACACCTATTTCTCACTTAGGACAAAATGTTGGCTTAGGGGAGGAGTAGGTGGGCAGTTTCCCAGAAACGTATAATAATCCAACTTAACTGCTTACCAGACTTGGTTTGTAGTACAAATGAACCACCTGACTTCCTGCTAATGCTGATGCTAAACTTGCAGCAAGAAAGGTCAGGTATCTACCCCATGATACGCCAGCCGGCATGATGCTCTTTGTCAATGTTCTTCTTGTTCCTGATTCTGTCTTTCTAGTTTTCTTTCTGACTGTTTTCTGACATAGACGTCATCTGTATTGCAAAAGGGAAAATCATTGCTGACTTGATTAAGCTGGCATATAAGTAAAAGTCGTGAACCTTCAAAAATAATAACAACAACGACAACAAAGAATTCCTGAATTAAACAATGGCTCAATTGCCAGATAAAAAATAATTAAATTAGTTGAATCAGGCAATTTAGCAGTTGTAGAATTCAGGAACTTTTTGCTCTCGTAAGTGGCCCCTCCCATGTAAGCAACCCCAACCACTTTGTTGATTCACAGATGAATTGGCAATCAACAGGATATGCTTGGAAGCAACTGCCGTCAATTATTTTAACACATGGTCACTTTAATAAAAGAAACCATTCTTTTACAAGACCATCACCAGTAGCCACCACTCTTATAAATTCCTGTCGGGTAAAATAAAAAGGGTTAACTAGGTCGCAACCCAGCACATCTTATTTTCTGATTGGCTACAAAACTTCAAGACAGGACAAAACCAGAAAATCACGAGCATACATGTACAAGATAGACCCATCCTGCCCGCTTGGGATTTTCTGCTTCGGTCCTGCTGAAAAAAGTCGCTTCCCCATATCAGAAATTGACCATCGGCTTGTTCAGTTATTAACGTGACTATTGCTTCGTTCTTTTTGCAATTTTTCTGACCTCCACTTCGTCTCGGTCCGTCAAAACGTAACAAAAACACGAAGCCGAAGTTTGGTCAATAACGCGCGCGAATATCTTCTGATCTATAAGCTGAAGGAAGCCTACAACTTGAGTTTTTAATAGTTCTGGAAGGATACTTACAGAAAGTTTCTCTCCCGACCCGGACTTTTATCATAAACAACTCTATACCGGCTCCAAGAAGGAAAAACAATGGCAAAAATTTATAGACACCAAGGCGCCTAGTAAATGCTACCAGCTTTCCTTGCCGCATTAAACTGTGGTTTCAATAAAGATTGCAAAATACCTTGACCATCGCCGCCATTAGATTCACTACACAATGTAAAGGCATACGTGAGGTACAAACCGAACGTTACTACCGCTGAATATTACAGCTGTGTCCGCAGGCACACAGTCGCTGATGTAAACAGTAGTTTCATAGCTTCATCCTTTCTGATCCTTTGTGTCAAGGAATATGATGAGTCAGAAGCGGGAGAACAGTGTTCGATACAGTCCATACTTGTAAGTGAATAATTCTTCTTTGAAGGACATCCTCTCTGTTAGCGATCTATGGGAATATACGAGCCGGCCAAAAAAAGTTGAACAGCTGCGCTCAAACCCGGCACATTTAACCGAATATTTGGTTACCGAAATGAATCGAAATTAATGGCATTCATTCGAGCGATTGAGTTCGATTGCCGAAAGTGATCGAACAAACTCTAACTGGCAAAAATATTTGGCCCATGGAACGCAATCGAAACTTTAATCTTTAATCAAGGTAATTGCCAATAGCGCTTATGCTAATCCGGCAATAGAGCGGCGGCCAGCGGTCGCTCAAATACATAGTATGGGGGGAGGGGGGGGGGGGGG